AGGACAAAAAAGGGCGTTACTGTGGCCAAAGTGCAAAATTAAAAGAGTCCTTAGAGCAAAATTCCCGGATGACGGGCGCGCAGGTAGGACTAAACCTCCATAGAAGTCCAGATTCTAGGCCCTGGGCCCATTTTAAGATTCTAGGCTCGGCCTCACAGCATGAGGTTCCATCATGTGTGCACCGATCCGTTGCGTGCGATGGCATGATGGCTTGCGGCTCGCAGTGTCAGCGGCCGAAACCTAGACTCTAGAGTGTTGCAACAACCGAGAATCTAATCTAGCTTCACGGGTCTGGTGGGGCCTAACTCGACTCTACTTCGAGGTCCTCAAGCCTAGGGGCATTTTAGGGCCTTGTATTGTAGGGCAGGGTCCGGTCCCTAGATCATAGGTCCTGGGTCGTAGGTCATTATGTCATAGGTCCTAGGTTAGGACTAGGAAGGATGATCCATGGAGTCGAGACGCCGTTCGTGCAACCAGTGGAAGTGCGTGTCGAAGCTGCCGAGATTTCAATCTATGACCTGCCGCCGAATGCCACCTCGACAGAGCAAGCAGGGAGGAAATCGGTGATGACTGCGCCGTTGGACATGCCCTTGAGATTGATTTTGTCAAAAGCTGTGCCTCGCACTGACTTTGGGGCTGGGGCTTTTGGGCCTTTGGTTACTTTTACTTTGGTGGCTTTGTGCGATAGGGACAGGGCTTGGGGCTTAGGCTTAGGCTTAGGGCTTAGGGCTTAGGGCTTAGGTTAGTTAGTTGAGGTTTAACTTACTTTCCTTTTGAAAGCGCTTTGGTACAGGCTGATCACTGTGGTGATACGATCTCGAAAGCCGTTGCGGTGCACGTGTTCATCCAGGACGTCGATGATGAGAGTTGGGATGGCAGCAAGCACAAAGACCGCAAGGGCAAGGGCAACGGCGATAACTCCACTGGCCAGGGCGACAAGGGAAATGGCGATGATGGCGGCGATGACGGCGATGACAACCCAAGTGCTGCTGGCAGTGACGAGAAGCGTCGTAGGACCTCCTAGCTGCTCCTAGCTGTCCTAGCTGCCTAGCTGCCCTCACTGATGATCCATGCAGCGCATGTACATTGACACACGAACACACACACACACACACACGCACGCACACACACACAAACACCTATATACACACACACACAAACAGGCGGGCGGCCGTAGTCGTCAGTGTGGGCACAGCTGCATTTCCATTTCACACGGCACCACGCACCACGAGCACCACCTCCTTTTCACTTCACGAACTGGCACTGCGGCCTTGGCCCTTGGCCCGAAAAGTGCCGTCCATTGGAGTCCATTGCATTGCGGAGCCTTTAAGGACTCAAGCCCCTGAAGCCTTAGGCCCTGCGGTGCCATACAAGCCCTAGGCCCTAGGCCCTCCTAGGCCCTAAGATTTTCAAGGCACCCGGCTTGCTCCCATGGATTCCCCCTTTGTCCTGCGTCTCCCCCTTTGTCCTTTGTCTCAGTGAGTGATTGAAAGTGTTTTGCATGATCCTGTTCCCTGGCTTCCCTAAGGCTTTAAAGCCCTAAGGCCCCACAGCGCTGCGGCCCTTCCTAACCCAGCTTGGATCTTGAATCTTGCAGCTTGAACAGCTTGAAGCCTCTTGAGCCTATAGGGCTTTAGGAACTTTAGGTCTAGGTGTTTAGGGCCTTTAGGGGTTTGGGCACTACAGGGTTTAGGGTTTAGGGGTTTAGAGGTTTGGGGGTTCGGGGTTCAAGCCGTTGAAGCCTTAAGCCTTTCGGGACCTTTCGCCTGCTCTCTGCTCTCAATCGTCTCATCCGAGCCTTGGTCAGGTGCCCTGTTGCCTCAGCTGCCAGGCCGGTGCGGCCGAGTGGAGTGGACTCAAGCTGTGGGGATTTCAGATTTTGGGTATACTACTAGTTACTAGATTACTAGAGGTCGTGGAATAAGGCCGTGTTGTTTGGTTTAGGTTTCTTGGGCAGGGGGTAAGGCCGTGTTTTCTTGGTTTGGGTTTCTTGGGTCAGGGTGGACTTTCTATTCTATTTATTCGGTTTAATTTGAGTCTTAGGGTTTAGGGTTTAGGAAGTTTAGGGTTTTAGGGTTTAGGGTTTAGGGTAATTAGGTCGGGTCCAAATTACGTAATGAGGTTATAGTATTGTAGGTCATGGGTCATAGGTCCTAGGTCCTCGGTCCTAGGTGGGGCAAGGCCGTGTTTTTTGGCTCGGGTTTCTGATGTGCTATCAACTTAACTGTTTGAGTTCTTATGCCATAATTCTTCAGTCCCCGACTTGTACTTCCACCCACGTGCTGTCTGAAGCGTCGGTGTGGTGCTGATCGGGCTCGGGCTTGAGTCAAGTGGTAGAACATTGTTCGGTCGGCCAGGGTATGGGGTCCTTGATTCCTTGACTTGCAGGTTGGTAAGTAGAGTACGTAGGGCTAGGGCGGATAATAGGGCGAGTCAAACGTGGATGCACATTAGGACTCTAGACTCTAGGGCTCTAGGCCCCTAGGCCCTAGGCCCTAGGCCNNCCCTAGGCCTAGGCTAGGATTCGACTTCGTACTCGGAGTTCACTCAAGCACTCTAGGACTCTAGGACTAGGACCAGGACTTGGGACTTGGGGCCCAGGACTATGACACGAGGCTGACTAGTGACTAGGACTAGGCCAGGCCCACTCACTAGGTCACTAGGGCAGGGCTAGCGGCTAGCGGCTAAAGCTGTTCTGTTGAGGGGGTACCGAGCACTGTTCGTGATCGTGTGACAGGTCGCTGCGCTGAGTTCTTCGCCCGAGCCAGCGATGCAGCCTTCCTTGCAGGCAGGCCTGGCAGCCTCAGCCTCCATTTTTGACGATGATGATGGACGCACAGACACGGACACAGGCATGCCCGTGGACATGGAAACCCCGTGTGCAAAGATCAGTGCTGCAAGCTTGTTCGAGAATAGTGACAGTGATGCTCCTGATGATGCTGATGTGCAGATCGGAGAGCCACGCGAGTTGGAGATCGAGGGAATCGAGGGCCTTCAGGGCCTAGGCCTAGGCCTTGGCCTAGAAGGACAAGAAGGAATTGAAGAAGCTAGGGGCCAGGGCCAAGGCAAGGGCACCGGCAAGGGCAATAACAATCCTGCAAATGCTCGGCGGGCTCGCTGGAAGCATCGTGCACAGCAACTGCAGCCTGCGGCTCCACGTCTGTCAGAGTCTGCCGGTGCTACTATAGGCTCAGCACTCTCAGAGCAGATTTCCAAAGTAACCGAAGTTGGTGCGGGTCTGGTTCGCGCCGCGTATGCTAGATTGGCATCGGCTTCGCAATGTATCGCTGGCCTGCAGCGAGCTGTCAGCATCGGGCGCCGTTGTCAGGAGATGCCCAAGTTTCAGCGTGTCAATGCTCTGTTGTTCGGAACTGATGTTTTGCGAACCAACTCCAGGCCACTTGCACAGCTTTTGGGTGAATCGCGATTTTGTGTTCATGAA